ATATGCTGTTAAATAAAATGTCCGTCGCTAGTTAGAACAAGCTAACTGGTTGGGTTACGTGAATCCAATGTGGGGTTAGTATGAATTTGGAGAAAACACCGCTCGGTATGAAAAAAAAAATAGGTTGAAGCAACGATAATATTGAGAGGTGACTTATGAGCGTCGCTTTGTTTTCGTCGCCGTCATTTCTTCTTCGTCGGTTAAAAACGGCTGTCAAACCGACGTAAACGCTAGACCGCGCCCCCTTCTTTATGTAACAAATAGTACATTTTGGGCTTAATTTCCTCTTTTTTGTAGAGCCGTTTGCAAAAATACAGATGAAAAAGAGGAAATAATTGAGGCAAAAAATAAGGAACAGAGCAAACCAAAAAGCAAAATACTAAAGTAGAATTATGTAAAAGACATTTTTCAGTTAGTAATTTATACTCTGAACAAATCTTTGGTCAATAATACACCAAAGACAAAAAGTAGATTCATCATGACTGATGAATCAAATAACCAACCCACCCATCAGCATGTTAAAGAATATCATAAGATGCAGAATCTAACAGTCCTAAAATTAATTAATTAATGTCATGACTACAGTACTGTGCAAAAGTCTCACCCCTCATTTATTTATATTTTTCTTCCAAGGAGCCAGACTTTTGTCATTTTATTAAGTAATCCTGAGCAAAAATTCAAGGTTTTCTGAAGACGCATGTTTCTGCTGCTTGTTAAAATCACTTACCTATTGGGACGAACCAGTGTTATGTTGACACGAGCTACTTATCAAAGCACCAATTTTAAATTGCACCTTTAAGGGTTTTTTTGTTTTCCTTTCTTTTTTGTGGTTTAGCCATTTGTGATCCTTACGGTTCAATTTGGAAGCACTTTTTAAGATCAGTTTGGACTGAAGAAGAAGAAGACAGGCTTCTGGGGGAGACAAGGCATTTATTAGAAGTCCATTTCCTGAATAATACCAACAATGTTTCACACAAAGTCTGGCAATGTTTCAGTATTTTCACTTCCCAAGATCAACATTACAAATGAACAACAAGTATGGCACATTTAAATAGACACCATTCACCTGTGAGGGGGTTAATTAAGACATTCAAACAAAGTTTCAAATGAAGACTCTCATTCTGCTGAGTGCATCTATACTGTAATTATACTTTCTAAAACGAGACAGTTCACTCACTGCACAGGACTTCATACGTCTGCGACACATTTGTTTGGGTAGAGAGGAAGGAAAATGGTACATGAACATTTACAAAATGGTTAAGAAATACAGTTCACGCATATACATTTGGAGAGTGGCAGTCAAATACAGTTCATCTAAAAGGTAAAAAGCTAGTCTCACATGTCATGTGCAGTTACCTTCAGGCTTGTAAATGTAAAGCAACAGCTTCCCATTCAATCAAATGGTCCAATGACATTGACGTCCCATTTGTGTTCCTATAATGCGTGGTGCATCCGTTTCTATTGATGAGAAAAGCATCCTGAAAGAACTGGATAGTGAGCCACCTTTAAAGACTGGAATTTCATGATCAGCCCCATTGATTGCCAGCAGTCCCAGCAGCATCGCCAGTCCCTCGTCACCCATCAATGTGGAAGAAAAAAAAAACCTCAAAACAATAAAACACTAGAATTGCAAAAAAGGTGGGGGCAAAAAAAAGAGGAGAGGTCATCACGAAGTCATCCGTCTACACACTTTGTTAAGCATGTCCTGTAAGCTGAAGTTGGCTAAAGGAGGTAATGAGGTTATAATGGCCCCTCTCCTCATCTGTCAGCTCCATGTTTCCAGGCCTGACCACCACCACAACATTAATGCCGGCTTCTTCTGCAGCTTTGGCCTCTGCAATGACAAATGCAGTCACGTTAAAAAAGAAAGTACACTGTTTTTTGCCCTTAACAGAATATTATTATCAAGACGTGACAATAAACAAAAGTGGCCAATAGGAGTCTCTTTGAAGACGAGCATCAGACGGATTCAAAACCTCAACACAAAACGACTACTTTGAACATTTCAGTGTTTCACAAAGCCTCACTTTGCCGAGCACTGCCTTTGTCCCACTGTCAAACAATAACCCACATTCATCCTGGTTGTCTTTATGTTATCTTACTAGCAGACAAACACCAGACCAAACGGAGAATATTATCATTGCTAACATACTTACCCCGGGTGACGTCTGTCAGGAATGTGATTTCCTCAGGCTGACAGCCAATCCTCTCTGCAATTCTCTCATAGCTCTTTGCGTCCACTTTAGCCCCTATACTGGTGTCAAAGTGACCGTCGAATAACTGAAAAGAAAAAAAAAAATCAAACCATCAGATTAGACAATATCAATAACAAAAACAACAAGAGCTTACAATTTGTTTTAGCCATTAACAGCCCCTCCAATACAAATATTTTACCTTGTTATAAAAAAATAAATAGACAAAATTAAATAAAATAAAAATAGAAACTATGTGCAAGCAAAGGTTGTGTTTGCATTAAAGTAGGAAAGGGGAACAAACTTCTAGAAGATCTCCTTCAACAGAGTATCCAAATAGAAGTTTCTGTGCCTCCACGCTTCCAGAAGAGTAGATGTAGACTTTCAGGCCACGTGCTCTCCATGTTCTGATAGATGGAACTACATCCTGATAGACCCTGATTTTAAAAAGGGATGGGGGGAAAAAAAAGCAGCATATTATTATGTTTTTTGTTTTGTTTTGTTTTTTGTGGGGTGGGGGGGTAATCTACTTCTGACAAACAAACCAAATTATGACCCAAACCTGAGTAAAGCGTATATGAATTTTAAAAGTGAGGAAAATGATCAGTGTACTTACTCGCCTTTGATTCTCCCAGATGCATAAGCTGCCCTCCACATGTGACCCTGAAACTGTTTGAGCGCTGTGGACTTCCTGTCTGCTGCCATCTGCCACAGAACATTTTCTACTACTTCCCTAATGGCCTTCTCCTCATCTGTGTGAACTGTCTGGTCCACAGTGTGCACAGGACACGCCCGGTTCTGTTTCATGTCCTCTTCAATCTGCCGTGACAGTCAGCCTTTTTGTTAAAAGAGCACTAAGGCATGTTCCCTGGTTTACTTGGTGGATTAAAACAGGTGTGACAATATTCATTTAAAAAAAAAAAAAGGCAAGCAATTCAGAAAATAAAGGATAGAAGCTGAATATGTAAGAATTCTTCAGTACCCAAAATAAAGGTTTTCCCTCCTTTGTTCACTGGCTGCTGATAAATAACAAACTGCATTCCTGCCAGGCTGAGTAACAGCCTGGATTTCATTCTTCCAGTAGGAAATCACACTTAAAAACATGTTTTATAGCTACCTGTTTCTTTAGTAGATGAACATCTTGTTTGCACTCGTCTTCTTCCCAGTGAGTGGACAGGTAATCCTCAAGATGCTCTTTGATGTACGGAAAAAGGATATCCTAGAAATGAAAATATGGACATGTGACAGCAAAAATAAATAAATAAATAAAACATAAAACCCACACTAGAGCCTGAATGATTTTGTCAGCAGACCGATATCACCTATCTGCCAATCTGTATTTATAGCAGCGAATAAATTTAAATTTTAATAACAGAAACTACAGAAGAGATGGGAGAAACATCCTTCAACCAGAGTTGATGTCCATAGTTTGTCCACCAGGGGGCCTTACAAAGACTTACAATGCAACAAACAACAACCAGCTGATCTGAGCAGTCAGGCACCATACATGAGTAAATGAATAACAACATACAAAAAACGTTAGAGAAATATGATTGTTTCCCGTGTTGGAAAGCCGATGAACTTGAAAATGGGATTGTTAAATCACCATGTTGTTCCTAGACATCTTAATCGGTTAGGCTCTAATTCAGTCTCTCTAGTTGGAAAATACCAACAGAACAATGTTTATTGATTCTTGTTTTAAAAGCCTTTTCCTTCATTTATGGTACAGCTGTTGTGTCTGTTCGCACAGACATTTGCCTACCCAGAGAGGAGTTTCTTTAACCTACGCAAATGTGGTTCAATGTAGTTCTTGAAAAACCCAACAATGTGTAGCTCAATGTTGATGAGCATTGTGAATGGTGACTGGTAAACCAGTGGGTCAGAACATGGTCAGGAGCAACAGGAGACTTCACCAGGCATGGGAGATGTGTGAAAACACAAAGATTTAAGTGAAGAAGAAAAAAAATAAGTCAAATACAGAGGACACTTTATACTGGTTTTAACATTTGGTCTTAACTTCATGCTGAAGGCCCAACAACAGCACAAGCAAGAGTAGCACACGGACTGGTACATACTTTGGACACTACCTCCATTTGACAACACACAGATAGTGTATGGACAGTGGACAGACGGTGTGGACCGTCTGCAGGTAGACGGACTGTCCATACCTGCCCCACTGACTGCCAACACACTGCCACCGCTGAACCATAATAAACTGTCATGTTTCTTCACGCCGTGTGGAATGATCTAGAGCGGGAACTGACCTCTACATCACTGACTTCCAACAGCTGCATACTTCGTCACGCTAAACAGTAATTAGAAAAATGGCCCGACTTCATATGTCCATGTCTATTTCTAACGCACTTCCGTATTCTAAGACACAAAGCAAAGAGGCTTCCATAAAAGTAAACACATTACATGAAACTGCTAATTACAACACTTCTTGTGTGACATGAACGCAGCGTTAGGTGTGTTCGTTGTCAAACGGTATTTCTGGTTATATAAAGCAAATATGGACGAAACAATAAAAGGACAAAAGCAGACAGTTGTAGAAGCAAATCAATAAAATTGCATTATATTCAGGAGATAGAGATACACTGTGAAGTTTTGTTGGTTTAGATGTGTGCTACCGGTAACAGGCAGCTGTTAGCATAGCCGCACAACCGTGCAGACTTCGTTTGCATTTCACGCTGCTTACCTTCACAAATGTAATCGGTGTGGTGGTGCCTTCAATGTCGAGCAGCAGGGCACTACTGCAGGCAGGAATAGAAACAGTGGCCATTTTTACTGGGTGAGTCTGCAACGGCTCTTGTTAGCTGACGTTAGCTTACTAATTAGCAGCACCGCGGTGGAAGAACCAGGCTGTACCCGGTCCTCGCTGTTTTTACAAGACTAACAGATTAAGCAGACTACAGATTATGCACGCGCTAACAGATTTATCTGGTGGTAAGCCACTAACTAGCAATCACTTCACAGCTAACACACAGGGCAGTAATATGCACACATGGCCAGCTTCATCAGTTCAGACTCCACGCCAGTAGGCGGCGGTACCTTAATAATGAACAACAAGTAAAACAACAATAAGAATTTGTTTATTTGTTTAAAACGTTATTAAAAATCGATATTCCAGCACTCAGTTTAGTTGTCTGTGCCATTTTATTAAATGAAATCATGCTTTGCATTTGGTATTATTTATTGGTTAACATTTATGTCAGTATAAAGAAATGTGCGAAAGTGTATGAAAGTGTTTTATTTTTCCTACAACAGCAATACTGAAACTATGCCAGTGCAACACTGTAATGCAGAGGTAGCAGTATAAGGTACACCTGTTAACTGATCATTAACACAAATATCTAATTAGCCAAGTAAGTAAAGTAAATTTTTATTTGTATAGCCCCTTTCAAGATAAAAAATTACAGGGCTATAAAAGGGCTAAACCAAACATGAGTGAAAAAAGGTGAATAAGTCTGCACAGAGCTGATGAGCTGATTTTAAGTCTCTATGAAACTTTTCAACTCATATACACTTTCACCAGTCTTATAAATAAATACTATGACGGTGGTCTTGAGTTTGACATGTAATGAATCAGCTATTATTGTAATGTTTTATTGTAGTTAGTACTGTAAAACTAAAATAGGGCTTGTTGTACATGTTCTATTTTATAACCACAAGTTTGGTTAATATGTTATTACAGCACATCTCGTTTTTGAAAAGCATCTCCAAACTTAAAGGCTGGACAGGAACAATTCAATGTATTGGTGATACTTACAAGTGCAAGTAAAATTCCATCACCATTAAATGTTTAGAAGTATTCATCTTCAAGATCATGATGAAGGGTCAGAGTGTATCTTTACACTTTCTGTGAGGATATTTTAAGTAATAAGTAATATATGATGTAGTGTCTTTTTGATTTGTTTCAATTTCACTAACATGTATGTGGAAGTGTAAAGAGTGTGCAGCACAAGAGACTACAAGATCTCAGTTATTGAAGCACTGCAGGTTAAACCACGGCCACTTTGGCCACAGACACCCTTATCCATGCACATGTTTAAATTTTCCATGCACCTTTAAAGCTTGGAATGCACTCCAAAGTTACCTTTGGATCACATGTTGATCAGACATTGCAGAGATCAGTAGATTTCTGGCAGGGTGATTAAAGACAAATTGCAATTTTCAAATTGGATTTGCAGTTAAGAAAGAGCACCACTCCAACTTCTGATTATTTCACATTGTTTAAACTAAAATGAATCAGGAAATAAAAATGCATTTCATGGATTTCATTGTTGTTATTATTTTCCTACATCATATTGTTGTGGTCCACCAAACACCTTTTTCACATTTTACTGTAATTCTTAAATGTTTGCAGGTGGAAGCAGAGTTTGCCTGCATCACCACTGTCCTACTGACATCCAAATTCATGCAGCAGCTAGAATTCTGTGTGGGTTATTTTTGGGTGATATAACTTTTGGTGTTTCTTCCTGTTATTCTTTCTATAATAACATTTTCTCACAAGATTTTTTTTTTTTTACAAAGTAAGTAGATTTGGAAAAATCTCCCTAAACCTAAGATTTAAACTGTTTAAAGTGATACTTTCAGCTGCAGAAACTATTTAAAGTTTTGGGTAATGTGGACTTTTCAGTGATTACTTTTTGTGTTTCTTACTGTAGTTTTTTTTTTTTTTACTAGTGTTGTTTACTGCACAATACAACAATAATCTTACACATCGCCCTCTTCTTTGCGGCAGTAAGATGCCATTTAAACTAAAAGAGCTTGTGTACTGAAGGTGCTAATTGTTTATCTCAGTGACGACACAGAAACCCTCATAAAGGAGAACATGATAAGTTTAGTGGCCTCTGCTTTCCACAAATTTGCTTTGTGGAAGCAAAGAGAATGTTTTTGCAGGTTTGTGTTCTGGCTAAAGATTAATTTATTTTTATTTTGAGAACAACCATTAGGGAATGCACCAGGTCCAGAACCCACAGACAAACTTGAAAATGTTGGGCTAATCATTGAAAGTGTTGAAGTGCTCCATGACCTTGGTAACATTGCAAATCCACTTGCCATTTTGTTTGGCCTCATTTACTCACTGGTCTTGAGCTACAGTTGAGCTACTTGAGTTCAGACAAGAAATTGCAAGAAAACAGAGGAGCACTGAAAGACTGTTTAGTGTAACCTTGAAGTGGAACTGCAGAACACTTGGAACAAGGGGTTTTTGTCCGCAACCATCAACAGAACTGGAATGTTTTGGATCCAGACATTGAGCTACACTGTAAAATGTAATATTGTGTTTAATTAAAAATATTAAATAGGCTGAACTCAGTTTTTATCAATTTGTTATCAGAACTCGATTTAAATAAGTTACCAGTACTTTTTATGCAAAAATGCTGATAAACTCAATTTATTGGAGTTGTCTTAACTTAGAGAAAAATGCCCCCATCACTACCGTCCTCCGCCCTCTTGGATCAGTCCGCATGTTCATGGTGCCAGCATTTGTTATGGAATATGTTGAGCAAACCTGGAAAAG